TAATCCTTTCTAATTTTCCTTCGTTTATCGGTTCTCCTGTCGCGTTGAAAATGTGAAAATGCGAAGGGCCGAGGTTTCGTTATTATTTGCGTTCGTTAAGGAAGAGGCAACGAAAGTTCTTTCACATTATTTCGCAACGACAAGTATATATCGAGCATGAAACGAGCAATTTCACGCTAAAATTTACTAGAAACGAAATTAATCTTTTAAAATAATATTTCCTAATTTGTAGAGGGAAGTCCTTTTCGGTATTATATTGTTAAGGTATCATCCCTTTCGCATTCTGAATAGAGAATCATAAAAATCTGTTGTTTCAACGTGTCATTCGTACAAACTTTACTCTGATAGAATAAAACTTCAATAGAATGTTGTGTATAAGTAATCCATTTAATGTTCAAGAGTAACTTGAAGTCAGTGAAAAACCTGAAAATTCTGATAATCCCCAAAAACTTTCTCAATTGGCAATTTGAATGAATTTCTCATTCGATCCAAGTCGATTCATCATCAATGATTCAAGAAACTATCAACTGAACTCAGCCTCCAGTACTGTTTTATCTTGTCCTAATTTTCTAAAACTTTACCTTTACATTTTGTAGCATTGTTCGCTTGTTCGTATTACCTAAAGTTTGTTCGTCGACGATGTACATTTTATTTTATTCCTAATCTATTTTAACCTTTATTCTAAGATGTTTATACAAATAAAAACTTTATTACTTTATTCCTAATCTTATTCTTTTATTATCTTATTACTTTATTCTTAATCTATTTTAACCTTTATTCTAAGATGTTTATACAAATAAAAACATCAGCCAATCACTTTTTTAACGCGTTAAAATCTTCAACTTTAGCTGCTTTAACTTTCCTGCCTGAAAACCCTTGCTCCAGAATCGTCATTCAAAGCTAGACCCTGATGATGGGGGGGGGGGGGAAAAAATCCTATAACGAACACCGCCGTGATCACCATCGCCCGAACAAATAAAATCACTGTCGCTGTTACTTTCACTGCCGCGGATTACGCCATTACAACGAGGACTCGTCTCGCCACGGTGTATCGCGTCTAATTATTATCATGTTACAAGCACGGTAATTAACGTAAACGTTGAACAGCCCCGTAGAAGCGGTAGAAGCCAGACGTTTTCACGGTTCTGTAAGTCGTGACCGAGGTTCTTAACACTTTTGTTTCACCAGCTCTGTGGTAATATATCCACACGCTGGTCGAGAGTGACAAATTATCTGGTGGCGACTTCCTAGACGTTATCTCGGGTTGAAACGAGATGCCGATCTCATGGGACACCAAGTCGAGGACACGGCCTTTCTATATTGGCTGTGTCGTCGGAGCAGAGCGTGAAAGATGAGAGAAAATCTAATTAGTCGGCTAAATTTCGAATTCACGCAGAAAATTTACGGCGGCGAGTTCTACATATCAAACGGGATCGCAGCTTTCGCTGTCGTCCCCACGATTTCTACAGCCGTTTTTGATATTGGGCTCTGATTTATGCGACGTTTCGTTTATTACTCGTTTATTGCCGCGCGTGCACGAAGGAATAATCTGAGATGCGTTAGCGTCGATTATTCAACTAATCTCTGTGGGCAAACTTAATTAACGCTAGGAAGACTAAGCCTGTTTCAGAGCTCAGCTAGCAAATTTATTGTACTTTGATATTGAAAGACATCTTTTAAATACAATATTTTAAATATTTTGAAAGTATTTTAAAAGGCACTTTCGAAATTACGAAATTTTAAATTTATATCTATTAAGCCACGAGCATTGAGATGCTTTTTGAAATGATTTTCCATATTTTCTACATTCGATAGGCTCCTTCTTTTCTTCTCAATTAAAATTCGATATTATACATTTATTTTAATTTCGTATTTTAATTACGTATAATTACGAGTGATAGTATCGACGTACCGCGATCCTCGATAATAACCCGGCCGTAATAAATCGAAATACAATCTTTCCGAGATAAAAAGTAACGATAAGGAAAACGCAGCGTGAAGTTTAAAAGAAGAAGTTTAAAAAAAAAAGAAAAAAAAAAAGGACTAATACGTCGGTATCGAGTACACGTAGCAATTTGCAAATCACCATCGTGAATGAATTTCAATACATAATTCCAGTTCGCCGTTCGTTGCATTACGATTTATTCAAGATCTCGACGACGAGAACGTGCTCGTGATAATAGTAAAATATCCTTTTTTATTTTCTTTCTTTCATTTTCTTTCTCTCTCGAACGTTGTCGAAGGAGTCGTCGTCAAATCGGGATTGTTTATATATGGACCATGGTCGTTGAATTAATCGATACGTGCATTTGTAATTAACTCACGACCGATTGATCGATAGCGACCTCATCGATGAGACCGTTTCGCAATCCGCGCCAGCAAAAGGTTAAAACAACCCTCGATAATTATACGTTTCACACGACCGCGTGTTACCGTGCGACTAACGCAAGCAAAGCGTGAATTATTTCCATTAAATAAATTGATACACCTTCGAGTGCCGTTACCAAGATGAAGATAACGGGCCGAGATAACTCGAAAGACGTTCCCCAAGGTAGCCACAACGTTCCTTCCTTTTTCTTTCTTTCCTCTGAAACGATGGCATCTGACATTTTGCATTACGATTTTGTACGATGACCCATTAAATACACGTAGCTTTTCATACCCAGTCACGGACAAACGTCTGAACAAGTACTATATTTGTTTCAAAATTGTAAGTTCATACTACAAAGAATCTACGAAATTGTACTTTGTACCACCAAGAATCTAAGATGTTGACTACCCACGATAATTACTGAATATTAAGAGTCTTAGAGCACTTTTTAAATTTCAAACAGTTTAAATTGGAAAAAAAAGAAGTTATGTGATCTATAGTATAATTACTATAGATAGACTTTTCAAATGTACAAACCAGGCTAGACTCGATTTACATAATTGTACATAAATTTCTGTAAATTCACGGATGTCAGAAGTCCATATTTCAGAAACTAACAAATTAATCAAAATTCACGAAACAACCTCTAAAACGCTTCTCCTTCGACTTGAAGTTCGACGAATGTATATAGTAAGCTTCTGTAATTGACAGTAAGCAAGAAGACACGAGCGGAATTGATAGAAAGGAACACTGAAAAAAGTATATATGGCGATCGCCAAGAGCATCGAATATTTAATTTCTCGACCGCGCGCTGCACTCGAATTACAAAATTGATACGGTGAAAGTTAGAAAGCAAGGATACATGTAATTTTAGTTCTTCTATGCTGGTTGTAAAAATATCACCAGTGCGCGAACCTCTATGTGTCTATCATTCTATCGAGTGTAACTTTCCTCCAGCCTACCAAATTGTCCGGTCAGCTTCGTCGGCTGCCTTACCGTTACACGATTTTCTACTGCTTCATTCTCGAGATTACGATTTATAAGCACGGAACAAACCCACGTCGACCTATTTGGTTCGCGTAGAAATTTATTACCTGTTTGACCCGGCCGATCGAGACGTCTCGTTGCGGATTGATTCTACTTGACAACTTGTTTGCACTCTCCTCCCCTTTACCTCTCCTGCTGTTCGCTCCTTCTCTCTCTCTCTCTCTCTCTCTCT